CAATACAAGATGATCACAGATATAGGATTGACCACCTAGAAAATTATAGTGAAGATCAAGAAACAGACCCAAGATCAATTAGAGAAGAGCATTCAGAAACTAACTTCTTCAACAAATTGTTGCTATAACTTTACAATCAGCAATGAGTCATATTTCACCAGTAAATATCAACTCCAGGAGATTATGTAGATTGTTTCATTAACAACCTACAAATCAAAGTGACTATATGTGAGGTGGTACACATCTGTTTGAGAAACAGAAATACAGAGTTTTATTTCAATGATGATATATTGGGAAATGTGGAAATCTGAGTGTCCTTGTATATCATTTAATGAAAGTAGACAGACAGGTGCAGCTAGCAATTAGGAAGGCAAATAGTATACTGGCTTTCATTGCAAATGGATTTGAATTCAGAAGTAGGAATATCTTACTCGAGCTATACAGGGCCTTGGTGAGACCACACCTGGAGTATTGCAGGCACTTTTGGTCTGCCTACCTAAGAGAGGACATACTTTCCACAAGAGGGAGTGCAGACAGCTGACCCTGAGGGCTTTGTAGTCCCATAAGGAGAGATTGGTTCAAAGAGGCCTGTGTTCACCAGGGTTTAGAAAGATCTCAAACAACAATGAGATAAAATGTAGGAAAGTAATTGGGTACTTAGCAGCATGGCGTAAAGACAACAATCTCTCTGTCATCAGCAGCGAAACAAAGGAGCTGGTCATTGACTTCAGGAAGTAGAGTTGAGGGCACGTCCCTGTCTGCTTCCATGGTACTGAGATGGAAATGGTTGAGAGCATCAGGTTCCTGGGATATAATCACCAACATCCTGTCCTGGTCCACCCACGTCGAGGCAACAGTCAAGAGGCAACAACAATGTCTCTACTTCCTCAGCAGGCTAAGAAAATTTGGCATGTCCACAAGGACTATTACCAATTTTTGCAAATGTACCATAGGAAGAACCCTAACTGAATGCATCACAGTATGGTATGGCAACTGCTCTTCCCAATTCCGCAATTAACTATAGAGTCAGGAACATAGCACAGTCCATCACGCAAATCAGGCTTCCATGTGATGACCCTAACCCTAACCCTAACCCTCGCCCATTTCTGATGAAGGGTCTAGGCCCGAAACGTCAGCCTTCCTGCTCCTATGGTGCTGCTTGGCCTGCTGTGTTCATCCAGCTCTACACCTTGTTATCTCTCTTCCATGTGATGACTCTATCTTTCCTTCCCGCTGCCTCAGCAAAGCAGCCAACATAATCAAAGACCCCTCCCACCTCAGTTATACTCTCTTCCACCCTCTTCCGTTGGGCAGAAAATATAAAAATTTGAATACATTTATGAATATATTCAAGAACAGCTTCTTCCCCATTGTTATCAGAATTTTGAACTAACCTCTCAAATGTTAAGTTTGATCTCTCTCTCTGTACCTTCCCTGTGGCTGTAACTGTGTTCTGCACTCTGTTCTGCTACCCTGGTGCACTTTGCATGAAACAATCTACCTGTATAGCATGCAAAACAACACTTTTCACTGTATCTCAATACATGTGACAGTAATAAATCAATTAAACAATCAATCAAAATGAGAGGGGATCTGTTTAAAATGTGTAACATTCTAACAAGGCTGGACAGAGTAGATGTAGGGAGGATGCTTTCCTGGGGTTGAGGAGTTTGGAACGAGGGGTCACAGCCTTAGGGTAGGAGGTAAGCCATTTAAGACTGAGACGCAGAAAACTCTTTTTACTCAAAATGCATTGAATCAATGGAGGTCAAACCACTGAAAATATTCAAGAAAGAGAGAGTAAATTTTTAAATTTCAAAGGCATCAAGGAGTATCAAGAGAAGGCAGGAATATGGCATTGAAATAGAGGATCACCCATCCACCCATATTGAATGGTGGAGCAGGCTCAAAGTGCCAAATGGCCAACTCTTGCTTGTAGCTTTTATATTTCTAATTCATATGTACTATCTGAGTCAACAACAATGGAAAGTTTTCAATAAAGCAGTCATTGAACATCTTCAATCAAAAGTTGATCTAAATCTGAATTGAGCAGTCCAAATAACAATGGAGGCAAGAAGACTGTTCAAGAAGTCTTATACAGCAAAAGTTTCATTTAACACAAAACATTTCCAGGACGTGTTGACAACTGATGAGATTAGAGAGAGCTCTCATCTGAACAACACAATGTATGTGACATCGACCCAGTTCCTATGCAATCTAACTTTACAGTGTTTTGCCACGGATTTGGTTCCAAAACTACAGACCAACAAATCAAAACTGTCCTTACTTGTGCCACTGATAAAGTCATTGTAGCACAAGAAGTCACTTTATGAAAATATGCAATAGTCTGAAGAACATATCAAGTGACAAATCAAGTAGTTCCCAGCCCAACATGTACATTCGACAATACACAGACAGAGAATTTAATTCCCTCCTTGGAGAATTAACAGCAGTATCCGATGTTTGTAATGAAGCAGGAAAGGTATAAGCACTGTGTAATTCCCATGCAGACCTGCAGTACATCAGCGTAATTTCCCTCAGCCAGATCAACTGTATCTTGATCTAACGAAACCCAGCAGAGAAAAAGCAAAATCACCAACTTTAGCTCAAATATAGGACAATCCTGCCATCCTGGAAACAAGTCTGGTGAACCCTCAGTGCACTCCTTCCATGACAATAATATCCATCCTGAGATAAGAAGATTGAAGCTCCATCTAATATTCCAGGTACAGTCTACCAAAGCTGCTATGCAATTGAAGCAAGGCATCGCTATTCCTCTTTCTGTGTTCCAAAGAAAAAATTTTAAAAAACTCATTTGAGTATGTGTGTAACCGTCAATCAATTTTTATAACAAATGGAAAATCTTGGGAGGGGTGTTATGTGAGGGTAATAGGACCTGGAGAAACCTGAAAATTATGTCACAGAAATATATATCAATGAATATATATACCACAGTATGGATGGATTTAGAACACACTAGAAGGAATATTCTGGAACACACACGAGAAAGATTATCTGGATCAAGAACAGAAAGCAGTGGAGATGAACACGTGAAGAAGATGGATTAGTCATTACCCAATGTCAGAGCCTCGTATATCTAAGCTTACAATGTATCACCAAATTTAGCATAAATGTACAATAAATAGTGTTACATTGACGTCTAAGCTCAAAGGTAATTCTTATCTTTGATTTTTCCTTGATCAGTCTACAAAGAGCCCAAATTCAGAGCGTGACATCAAACCACTTGATAAAAGAATTATTAAGTAAAATTTGTTGGAAATGTTCATTTAATGTTGGTTTTTATTCCAGCCTTGGTTAAAGTCTGTGGTGGACTATACCAGCAAGATGATAAGGTGCACGTGGCAGTAACAAATGGTGAGCTTATGATAAATAGAACCCTCATTGAAAGAGGTGATCATAGAAAGCCCAATCTGAATTGGGATCTGCTGGATGCTTTCTTCCTTCCTCATGCACCTTCTCCTCCTCCATTTTCCTGCTCTCTTACTTCTGCTCAATCCACTTCTCCTGAGCTGCACACCACATCCTTGTGGCAAGAGATGTGTCCTCATGATGACCAAGATGTGGAGGATTAAGCAAACTGAGGCAAAACACACTGTAATGATTGCATACACTGTAGGATTGAACTGGAAGTGTTACCATTGCTTCATAACTACTGGATGGTCTGTGTAGCAGCACAATATACTGGCTGCATGTGGTAAAGATGCAGAGCGCAGGTAGGAAGTATTGTGAAGTGGATAGTTTCTGTTACTCAGCAGGCGTCTTCTGGTTTGATGACAGGCTCAAACTGAGGGAATAGCATTCTGGCACAGAATTAAAACATTAGGACTGCTGCCAGGAGAACCACAGAACAAATGCATGGTTAGCATGTGGAAAACTTTGTGGTTATTGTATGTCTCACCATTTAGATGCATCACCTGCAAAACCACATGTTTAGTCGATGGCACTCTGCACCATGAATAACATACACTCTCCACCTGCTTTTTGCTGGACACAAAGGGACTCAGTCCCCTGTCTGAGGCACTTGGTGATGGTACACAATAGAGATGTTACTGATGTCCTCTGCTCCAGTCTGCTAAACAAAGGCTGGAAAGAAACTGATGGTTCTTGGCATATTTGTTGGTAGACCCATTCTGGTGATGGTCAGAGGCTGTTGATATGGTTCCAAATGGAACATAGCAGAGATCTGTGAGCAGCTCCCTCATAAAGTGAAGACAATGTAAACATTACCCATGCTTGAAGTACTGGTAGAAGAAATGCTCAGGGAGAACACTTCCTACTGAGAGCATCCTTCCTCATCTCATCCTTCTGGGAGAAAAGGCTTCTGTTCATTGTTGCCCTTCCCTCTCACACACTGCTGTCCTTGGGGAATGGTTATGATGGTAATAATGACTGGGAGCAATTGGTTTGACCTGAACCCTGAAGACACAAACAAGGTCTTCTATATGTTTGTTTGTTGACTACACCAACTTTAACCAATTCTACAAGCCTCTAAAAACTTCTATAGACTCAACCAGAATCAGCAGATATTTGTAGTGCTATTCTTAAAATTCCTTTCACTTCCTGCAGTATTTAACCAAATGTACAATCCCTACTTGCATTGACACAGAATGTGCATGTACCTTGTACTGTTATATGGTCAGTGTCCATAACTCTTTCAGCAGTTTTAACCCCAGTGTACTTTCGTTTATCTGTCTGCAGAGTTTCTCCCAGTGTACATTGCTCTGTCTACATTCCTGCTGTACATTTCTCTATCGGTGAATTGTTCTTCAAATTACACAATATGAAGTATTTATATTCATCCACTAACAAGATTAACCCAGATTGTGGCTGTAATCTGCTGCCAACGGAACAGGACATAGATCTTTGTCTAAATCTAAAATTCAACCTCGGTTAGAATCTCCTTCCTTTCATCTGTTGATCTATTCCTTCCTCTGGAATTAATTTCCAATTAAATATTGTTTCAGTCATATGTGAATCAACTAACCAAAGTTAAAATGTGCACATCTCTTCAAAAGTGTCTGATTCATATGTGGTCTGCCTGTGTACCACCTTGTGAAATCCACCACAGATCCATCTGTCCACATCCAATGCCCCCACTGTGGGAGAGAAAGAATATCATTAATTTAAAATACAGACTGCCTATGTACTGAACAACTGGTAATACAACAAATGTAAGCTGTACAGGTAGTACTGCTATAATGCATGTTTCATTAATGCGAATTGGCTGTAACGCGATTGACGAATAGTGGACGCTCTCTGCTGTATAGGTATAGCAATTTTCTATAGCGATTTCCTGAAAACGCAACTTTCTATAGTGTGAGGTCATGCAAGAACGCATCCATCCTTTTGCACTACTTGTACAGTTGAGAACCTGCCAGATAAAAACATTTTTCAATCACTCTTAGCTGCATTGGATGGACAGCTGTCAAATGCACATTCTGTGGCAGCTTGGAACACCAGAAGACTTATTATCTCCTGGAAAACTACACATGCAGGAGGAGATCCCAGTTACTGGAGCCTAATGTATCAGAGCATGGTTTAGCTCATCTCCCAACTGTGCACACATGAAACTGACAATTTTGTGGCTTGGACATTTCAGAACAACAGAGTGACAGAGTTGACAAGGAGAGAGAGTGAATGACACCAGGTAGATCAGAACGAGCACGCAGGCAGTACAGGAGTCCCCTGGGAATGTGGCCCTCACAAACTGAAACTGGTAGGATGGAGATATCAGAAATCCTAACTATAATCTCTTAATCTAACTTGAACAATGAAGTTTTTGAAAATGTTGTATCATCATTTAAAAAGGAAAGGAGAGATAAATTTGGTAGCTACAGAGCAATCAGTCTAATGTCAGATGTGGGAAAACTACTTGTAACTATTATTGAGGAAATAATTAATTCACTTGAAGAAGTATGGGTTAATAAGGAACATCAATGTTAACTATTCACAAATTTCTGATTAGGCTTCAGGTGCAGTATTGTGTAAAATACTGAGTTTCTCTTATCTTGGATAGTGATCACAGTCAGGCATTCACTATCCTATAAATTAAATTAATCATATTATACATTTGTGATGACTCACGGAATAGTTGTCCATTGTGTTATTGCCAACCGGATCTTCCCAAAACTCTCATAATGAACTTGATGGGAATAAAGCCCTGGAAATCTTCCTCCAGTGATCCCCAGCATCACAGATGCCAGTCTTCAGCCAATTAGATTCACTCCATGCAATATCAAGACATGTTTGGATGACCTGGATACTGCAAAATCTCTAGGCCCTGAAAACATTCTGGCAATATTGCTTAAGACATCTGCTCCAGAACTTGCCACATGCCTGGCCAAGCTGTTTCCGTACAGCTCCAACACTGACATTTACCTGACCAAGAGGAAAATTTCCCAGCTATGTTCTGTATACAAGGAAAAAGCATGACAAATCCAACTCAGCCAATTACCACCCCATCAGTCTACTCTCGATCATGAGTAAAGGTGTCATCAACAGTACTATCAAGCAGCACCTGCTCAGCAATAACCTGCTCAGCGATGCCCAGTTTGGGTTCCACCAGGGCCACTCAGCTCCTGACCTCATTACAGCCTTGGTTCAAACATGGACAAAAGAGCTGATTCTAGAGGTGAGGTGAGAGTGACTTCCCTTGACATAAAGGCCACACTTGATCAAGTATGACATCAAGGAGCCCTTATAAAACTGGAATGAATGGGAACAAGGGAGAAGAGTCTCTGCTGGTTGGAGTCATACCTGACACATAGGCAGATGGACATGGTTGTTGGAGGTCAGTCACCTCAGCTCCAAGACATCTCTGCAGGAGTTCCTCAGGGTTGTGTCCTAGGCCCAACAATCTTCAGCTGCTTCATCAATGACCTTCCCTCCATCATAAGGTCATAAGTGGGGATGTTCACTAATGAATGTACAATGTTCAGCACCATTCGCGACTCCGTAGGTACTGAAGCAGCCCATGTTCAAATGCAACAAGACCTGGACAATATCCAGACTTGGGCTGAAAAATGGCAAGTAACATTCACGACACACAAATGCCAGGTAATAACTATCTGCAATAAGAGAGACAATCTAACCACCACTCCTTGACATTCAATGGCATTACCATCACTGAATCTTCCACTATCAATATTCTGAGAGTTACCATTGACCAGAAACTCAACTTGACTCACCATATAAATAAAATAGCTACAAGAGTAGGTCACAGGCTAGAAATACTGCAACAGGTACCACACCTCCTGACTCACCAAAGTCTGTTTACTATTGACAAGGCACAAGTCAGGAGTGTGATGGAATACTCTCCAATTGCCTGAATGATTGCAGCTCCAACAACACTCAAGAAACTTGACACCATCCAGGACAAAGTAACCTGCTTGATTGGCATCATATCCACAAACAATCACTCCCTCCACTACCAATGCTCTGAAGCAACAGTGTGTACAAAATGCACTGTAGAAATTCACCAAAGATCCTTAGACAGCACCTTCCAAACCCATAACCACTTCCATCTTGAAGGAGAAGGGCTGCATTACATGGGAACACCACCACCTGCAAGCTCCCTTCCAAGCCATTCCCCATCCTGATATAGAAATATATCATTGTTCTTTCAGTGTTCCTGGGTCAAAATCCTGGAATTCTCTCCCTATCAGCATTTTGGGTCTATCTACAGCCCATGGACTGCAGCAGTTCAAGAAGGCAGTTCACCACCACCTTCTCAAGGGCAACTGGAGATGGGCAATAAATGCTGGCCAGTCAGCAATTCCCATGTCCCATGAGACAATTAAAAATTCTATTCACCAATATTCCATGAGTCTTCACAAGTTTAAAATATGACCAATTTAACCTCCAGGATGGTAATGCCAGATTGTGACCACTACCTAAGATGAAATAAACTCATACCATGTTTGATCAATGAATAAGAAAACAAAAAAAAATCAATATAACAAACGTATCTTCAATGTGTAGCCAAAACAGATTAATACTTATTAAAACACAAATTTAAACTTTAAATCCAAACACATATTCATTCACATATATGACAAACAAGACAGATGAGACAGTTTTTTTTTTAATGAACACCACAGATAGAAAATATAGGCAAAAAGGCAAAAAGACAACCCATAGAGGTAGAAAAAAGTAATTTTTAAGTTTTGGTTTATTTTGGTGATGATGTCACCTTGTTGGAAACAGCAATGATCCCCAATTTGGAAGCTGATCAGTTGGACCTAGGTCATGGCTTGAGTTAGAATTTTCTTTTTCCCTTTCCTATCACAGTGTCTTTGAGTGTTGTTGCTTCCACTCATGGTGAGAGTAAGAGAGACTACAATTTTATTTGCTAGCAAGCTTAGAGGTCTCATGGAGAGAAAGGTCTGATCTATATTCTCTCAGTTAGAGATTTGTTCTAAATGGATTCTTTTCACACTCAAAATGGTTCTACCAATCACAGAATGTGTTTTACAGTACCTTCCAGTGGACAGTTTATAATTCATTATCACTCTGGTGAAGTATACCCTCCATTTGTATGAATATTCCAGTCAAGCCACGAAAAAGAGCTACATACAACGCATGAAACAGCCCCCAGCCAGATTGGTTTGAAAAATAACCATTGAAATGTTTTATGGTGGAAATAAAGTTGACAACTTCTCAGTTATGTTCTATAACATTCAATGTGCTTGGACAAGGGGTTCAGCAATGTATCTGATAAATGTGGCCCCTTTGAAACCCTAATATTGTGAATAAATCTGTTGGCTTCTTTGAATTTTATTTACTTCTACAGATTTTAATTTCAATTTTCTCTTCAGTCTGCTTGTAACACCTGAACAGAAAAGAGCAAAAATACCTCCTAGCTTAGTTAATGCCTGCTTCTGGACTCAATATCTCTCAAAAGTCTGCTTTCTAGAAAGAATCCTGTATGTTGCCTGCAAAGTGAACCAATTCCCAGTTTACAACTGCTGCTCATTCAATTGCAATTTGGCAGCATTAGAGCGTCTGAAAAAGGTACTTATCTGCATAGCCAATTCAAAGAACATCCAGTGGACATTAACTTACTGGCTCTCTAATTCACACAAAAAATGTGAATATCCTTAATCTAAAATAATTTGTAATTTGTCATTGCTCTCCTTCCTTCTAATTTCTTCCTTGGATAACTGTCTGCGTTAATGTGTATGATGAATTTTTTTTGAAATATTGAATCCCACTTTACATTTATCTTAAGGAATTTGTGCTTATTAATTAAAAAGTGAACTTCAGAAATAAGATTTGAGGAAATATATCACCCTCATTTCAAAACATGAAGGACTTAAAAAACAAATTCAAATCATCTCTATTATATACAGGTTAGGAAATCTACAAAATAATTTAGTTCTTGTCAATGCCAAAGCCACATGTCAATGGCAACATTGGTACCTGAGAATTTCACAGTGATCAAGGGGATTGTGTTTTGTTGAATGATGTCAAGTTTCTTGATTGTTGTTAGAATTGCACTAGTGGGGAGCATTCAATCACTTTTCTAATTTGTGCCTTGGGATGATGGACAGATTTTAGGGAACAACAGATTGGTTATTCGCTACAGAATGTGCAATCTCTGCTCCTACCTGTAGTTGCAATATCTATATGCCAGTTCCAGTTCAATTTCTAGACAGTGCAACCCCTAGGATGTTGATGGGAAATATAGTGATGGCAATGTCCTTGAATGGCAAGGGGAAATAGTTAGATTCTCTCTTGTTGGAAATGGTCAATGCCTAGCCATTGTGTGGCACAATTGTTCCTTCTGTAATCAGGATTCTATAGGAACTTTCAAAATCAGACATCTACTTGAAGAAGGATAATTGTTGGGTTATCAGTTTTTAAAAAATGAGTTGTGGGACTAAATCAGACAAATATTTTATTGAGTGAGCACAGACATGATTGGCCAGTTAGTTGCCTTATATATTAGACAATATTATGATTCCATTGTAACAAGTCAGGCAATTTTACCTTGTAGATTTGATTCAGACCAATCCATGTTTCAGGATTTGTTTGCAGTTTTTCATGTATCACCCGTCCAATGAACTCGTTCTCTTTCTCTGTGTGTATGGAGGCAAGATGGCCACCTGGAGCAACTGCTTTGCAATACATCTTTAAATAAAAATAAAACAGGCCATTTGTTGTTATCACTTTACTGCTTTGACTATATTCAGTTCTGTTGTTTCAAATAGTGAAACTTTAATAGTGCTACTTTAAAAGGAGAACCACAAGATGTACAGTCTCCCATTAAACGGCCATATCCTACAACATGGATTGACGTCAAGCTAATTGAAGAGTGAAACATCGTCAGTCGTTACTCAGAAACAATCCCATTGTGGTTCAAGTGGCTTGAATCCACCAGACTGAAACTCCAGGTGCTTTAAGTATCAGGTAACACTGGGCTGGGCTTGTGGTTGAATGCTCTGTAAGCTATCTTAAATTGTACAGTGTTGTCTCCAGTATAGCTGTGGATGGTTCCTGCATTCAATTTCATTTAGAAGTGACCATTTTCCACACTAAAAAATTATCGCAACAACTTGATAAGTGTGTGTCAGTAAATCAATTTTACTTAGACCAAATTCCTATCTGGTGATCATGGTTCAACATCAGGGACACTAATGAATTTAGCAAGTCAATGGGAGTTGAAAAGTTACACAATGAACTGTTCTGGTTTAATTTCACATGTTTAAATAACAATTTAGATTAGAGGTTCACTTCCCATTTTTATGATCTCTGCTGATATTATTACTGGACAAATTGGATCATGACTGAAATCTAGGTTGATAGATCATATTTTGTTTTCTTTTCATTTAACAATGTGGTCTTTCAATGAATCACAAACATGCAACTCAGCCAGATTTGGTTTTAACAATAAAACAAAAATTTATCAAACAAAAGAAAGTAAGATAAATTAGAATAAACCAAGCTATTTATAGATGACACAATTTAAAAGATTTCAAAACGCAGTAAGAATGCAATCCCATCTATTCCAATACCAATACCACATGATTACAGTACTCAAACACCAGAAAGAGTTTGTTTCTCTATCACATCAGAAGGCTTAACCTAACTGATTTGTTTTCAATACTTGGTATTTTGAGCTCGGTAGTCCCTTCTTTAGATTAATCACACAATTGAGCATAGACTTTCTCAGCTTTAAATAACCATTTTAAGTCTCTAGCCAAACATTTTTGTTCTGAAGTTTTAAAACTAAAACTTTTACACAAAGGTAAATTATTATTCTAACTTTTCTCTAGGAGAAACTGTTTCATACATTGAACTGCAAGTAGGACTTCTGTGAACTGGATAAAGAAAGCAACTGTGAGATTTTCTCTTAAGCAAACGAAAAAAATCAATTCCTGATCCTTCTAACTGAATGCAAGCTAATTCTCTTCAAACTTTACTGTGTCCACTTGTAAAGCTCTCCCAATGTATACAAATCCCCAGGAATACCCAAGGAATTCCATCTCTCATTCTGGTTTAAAACAAGCATACTTAACAAAAGCAAACAAGTTTAATCATTAAATCCCCTCTCAGACATAGACAATCCCCAAGTGTGACTAATTCAAATCCAAACTGTAAAAGAAGTGTTATTTATATATCAGACACCTTAATCACATTACATTATTATGATTAAAAGTAAATATGAAATCCATCGCCATCATCTAAATTACTCAACTAAAGTTGCATTTCCTACTAAATCTACATCTCTCCTGGAGCTGTCTGATGCTGAACCAAACTGTTTGCAACCTTGTCATCCTTTTTTGATCTTGAGCTGAGTTTCCAATTTTACATTGCTCCTTTACTAGAGCGATCATTTCCATTTCTGTAACCGCTTCCAATCCTGCTCTGACTTTGCCTGTCAACTGTTAATAACCCTCATCCAAGCCTTTGTACCTGTAAAGTCAGCCAAACACCAAGACATCACAAGGACCAAAGGTCCAAGAGGAACAGGATCAACGCCTTAGCCCTAAAGCAACTTGATCAAGAAGAGATAACAAGGTGTAGAGCTGGA